CTGGGGATGGAGCCTGCAACCCGGGTATGTGCCCTGGCCTGGAATCAAACTGTGACCTCCTAGTTCATAGGATGAGCTCAACCACCTTAGCCACCTGGCCAGGCTCAAGGATCTTTGAAACACACTCCTTGAGGACTCCTGACACATTCCCTCCCTCCTTTGTCCCAGTTCATACTGGATTCTGGTTTGGGATGAGCCATTTGCTAGTCTGAGTTTTTCCCTGGCTAGGCTGGGAGCCCCTGGAAGCCAAGATCACACCACGTGTTTGAAATATGTAGTTACTGCCCAGCCCGTGTGACTCAGTGATTGAGTGTCGACCTATGAACCAGGTCATGGTTTGATTCCCGGTCAGGGCTCATCATTGATGTTTCTATCTCTCTCTTCTTCTCTGAAATCAATAGAAATAATTTTTTAAAAAAGAAATACGTAGTTACAAAAGGTGAAACGGTAAAGAAATACAAATTGGCAGTTTTGTATTTCCTGGGGGTGTGAAGTATAGCACAGGGAACATAGACCATAACACTGTAGTAACTATATGGTGGCAGGTGTCTGCTAGACTTACCACGGTGATCACTTTGTAAGCCATACAAAGGCCTAGTCACTATGTTATGCATCTGAAGCTAATATAATGAATGTCAACTGTAACTGAAAAAAAATTTTTTTAAATATGTAGCCCTGGCCAGGTGGCTCAACTGGTTGGAGTGTTGTCCCATACACCAAAAGGCTGTGGGTTCGACAAGTCAGGGTGGCATATACCTAGGTGGTGGGTTCAATCTCTGGTCAGGGCATGTACAAGAGGTAACCAATTTTTTTACAGAGAGGAAGGGAGAGGGATAGAGAGTTAGAAACATCGATGAGAGAGAAACATCGATCAGCTGCCTCCTGCACACTCCCCACTGAGGATGTGCCCACAACCCAAGTACATGCCCTTGACCAGAATCGAACCCGGGACCCTTGAGTCCGCAGGCCGATGCTCTATCCACTGAGCCAAACCGGTTAGGGCTCGCTCTTTTTAAAATATATATATATATCTTTATTGATTTCAGAGAGAAACATCAATGATGAGAGAGAATCATTGATCGGCTGCCTCCTGCACACCCCCCACTGGGGATTGACATCATAACCCAGGCATGTGCCCTGACCGGGAATCGAACCGTGACCTCCTGGTTCATAGGTTGACTCTCAACTACTGAGCCACACGGGTGGGCCCTTCTTCTCGCTCTTAAATCAATAAAAGCATATCCTGAGTGAGGATTGAAAAAAAAATGTGTTACCACGACTGAGCGTTCCATGGGCTGTGGAGCCAGGCAGTCTTCTCTGTGCCTCAGTGTCCTCGTCTATAAAATGGGCATCGTAATACACCTGCCTCAGGAGTTTATGAGCTCAGGGCTAGGGCCAGGGCGTGGCGCAGTGAGCTCTTAATGAACTCAGCCACAACTATCTAAAGCAGATACGATCACCCCCTCTGCACAGAGGAGAAAACGGAGACCCAGACAACGCCCAAGGTCACAGAGGGGTCAAGTGGGCCTTTGGTCTCCGACCCGCTGTACTCTGCCCCACCTCAGCCCGGCGCGGCACCCACACAACCCAGCCCATGTTTGCTGCATGAAGTGAAAATGACTCACTAAGTGGCATGTTTGCCCTTCCAGGCTGGGCAAAATTCCCTGGTGATTACCTGGCATCCTAATGAAAAATAAATCGATTGCATGGTTGACACATCCTGGTCACCCTCTGACCTCAGCTGAAATGTCACTTCCTCCGAGCTGTCAGCTGCCACCCTCCCATGTGCATCAGCTCCCTGAGTGAGAAACAGGAAGCATAAACCAGCACCCGGGGGATGGTGGGTGGGGACACAGTGGGGGGCAAGGATGCAGTGATTCTAACTCTTTTTATTGCTTCATTTTCATACATGGAATGTATGAAAAATAAAATTAAACCAAAAAGGGGGAACCCATTATTAACACCAGTGAAAGCCACAGAGAAAAGGGTGATTCCAAGTCACTCCGGGCCCTGCACTCCGGCAGCACAGCGTCCGGGAGATCCGCTCCAAGGACAAAAACCCTGGACGTTCGTTCTTCAGGGAGCATTTCAGGTCTTGCTTCCCGGCAATGTCATCCGTTTGGCTCAAATAAACTCATAAAAATTCTCTACAAATTGGATGTTTCTTACATCGACATTTCCTTGGCGTTGCTGGCAGGGTTTTGAGGAGCCTGCGCAGGCCCACCCCGAGGACCCGGACCCGGTGCTGGTACTTGGGGCCCCACTGGCTCCCCGCTTCAAATCAGGACATCAACTAAAGGGACACTCTCCCATCTCATTGGAAGGGACTTTGCCAGGCACCTAACCATGAAGGGACACCTACCCTTGCCTCCTCCTACAAGGGACATCGAAGGTTCCTCTAGGACAGGGGTTCTCAACCTTCCTAATACAGTTCCTCATGTTGTGGTGACCCCCAACCATAAAATTATTTTCGTTGCTACTTCATAACTGTAATTTTGCTACTGTTATGAATCGTAATGTAAATATCTGATATGCAGGATGTATTTTCATTGTTACAAATTGAACATAATTAAAGCATAGTGATTAATCACAAAAACAATATGTAATTATATATGTGTTTTCTGATGGTCTTAGGCGAACCCCTGTGAAAGGGTCGTTTGACCCCCAAAGGGGTCGCGACCCACAGGTTGAGAACCGCTGCTCTAGGATGAGAAGCTGGTGACCACAGAGGTAGACAGCTATGCCAGGACAAGATCTCTCAGAAGCGTAACCACCCCCAAGAGATCACGTCACCTTGTTAACCCTCCTGTAATCCAATCCATGCCTTGCTTTCTCCCACTTTCGAGTAATCTTCCTTACATAATCCTTCCCTAATTCCAAAAGTATAAAATAAACTGCAAAACTGTGGTTCTTCGGAGCAAGATTTGAGATCTTGCTTCCTTGCCAATGCTGTCAGTTTAGCCCAAATAAACTTATTTTTTTTATAAAAAAGGTTCTTTACTCCGTAAAAGTACTTGTTAGTAGTAATATTAAAATTAAAACTTACATATGCTGTCAGATAGAGCAAATAAGCACAGTAGTGTTATAAGGAACTAAGATTTTCTTTAAAAATATTTTTTTTTATTGATTTCAGAGAGGAGGGGAGAGACAGGGTAGATAGAAACATCAATGATGAGAAGGAATCATTGATCAGCTGCATCCTGCACACACCACACTGGGCATCCAGCCGTAACCCAGGCATGTGCTGGGAACTGAACCATGACCTCCTGGTTCATAAGTCGAAGCTCAACCACTGAGCCATGCAGGAACTAAGATTTTCACTATAAAATATATTCTTAAAAAGATTAACTCATATTTTCCCCTCAGGGCCCATAGTTGGTCATTTCACACTTAAGTGTTTGATGTCAGATGACCCAGAGAGGTCCTCAGGGGGCCAGGGTGTGGGGCCACAGCATCTTCAAATGCCAGTGAAAGGGGGAAGGGCACATAACAGGAATAGGACCAGAGGTTTAATGATTACTCACTATAGGTGAGAGGTTTTCTTACAGACCCTGGGAACTGGAAGGGGTGCTGCAAGAAGAAAAACAGCTGTAGAAAGATAAGGGGTGCCTTGGGGCCCAGATGAGTCCATTGCTCAGAAAATACATTTGACAACAAATGCAGGGAGTGCTTTGATTTGGTTTCTGTGCCTGGACCCTGACCCCCTCCAGGAGTTTGCCTCAGGAATGCTGACCTTTTTTCAGGCTTTTTGTTGTTGTTAATCCTCACCTAAGGTTATTTTTCCATTGATTTTTAGGGAGAGTGGATGAGAGAGGGAAAGACAGAGAAACATCCATGTGAGAGCAACACATAGATTGGTTGCCTCCTGGACAAGCCCAGACCAGGGCCCGGGCAGGGGAGGAGCCTGCAACCGAGGTATGTGCCCTTGACCGAAATCGAGCCCAGGACCCTTCAGTCCACTATCCACTGAGCCAAACCGGCCAGGGCAGGAGCTGGGATTTAACACCATTGAAAATGAACTACCTTGTCATCAGGACTTCAAGATCCTGGAAGGAAACACGGGGACCACAGCCCCTGCAACCATTAGCCTACCCCCCATCCCCCTTGCTCCCAGCTTTCTTCCTTATCCCCGTATAATCAGCCGGCTAGTAGCAGTTAGAGCAGAATTTACACGGTGACCTGCTGCTCTCCCATACTGCCCGCATTATTGGAATAAAGGCTCGTATGTGATTCAATCTTATCTCTGCTGAATTTGGCTCAAGTAATGACAGGCGGCCTGGACCCACTTAGAGTCCTGAATCACCAGCACTGGAAGGGACCCTAACGCTAGGGGTTTCGAGCTACGCCCAGGGCTTCAAAATGCCCCCAGGGAACCTGAGCCCCCCAGCACCTCCCAGGCTGACCCATTGGGTCAGCGGGTCAAGCAGCTCTGCTCTTGTCCGTGGATGGAGACTGTGACAATAGCAGCTCTTGGGTTAAGGAGAAGTAGGAAAGTAAACCGTGTGGATAGATGCAGGCTGATAGACGAATTCTTTTATAAGCTGGTGAGACAAAGCCAGGCTGGGCTGAGGGCTGCCCCTTTATCAAGGCTCCGATGAAGGCACCACCAAGGTCCCCTGTGGTACAGTCACCACTGACCCCCGACTCCAGTGCCCTCCCTGGCAGGGCTCCTTGGCCAGGGGTGGGGCTCAGATCCTGGATCTGCCCCGAGAGCTGTGAGCTTGGGCAGATGACTTCATCTCTGACGTCCCCATCCGAAGGCGGAGATGAGCAGACCTAACTCAGGATTCGCGTGCGGATAAGACAACGTCGGGAAGAGCTGTCTGAACCTTTCTCTTCTGCGCCCTGGGCCTTGGGCACCCTCTGGGGAGTCAGAACTTGCTCCCAGGTGGTCTGTATTGGGTCCTCGAAGCCTTGGTTTGACCCCCAGCCATACTCGCTCCCAGGTCTGCTGAGGAGAAACCCCCCGGAGCAAAGAGGTGGACTGTGGGCTGCCCAGGTCACTTTATCCTTTTCTACTTTATTACTTCAAATTAACAACCACAATAAAGCTCAAAAAAGTCCAATATTTACACAGGAAAAAAGTACAAAATTCCCCCCCAAAGTTCTTCAGTATTTTTTTTCAGTTTTTTAAATTACAAAGTTATAAAAAGCTTTGCTCTTTAATTAAAAAAAAAAGAAAAGAAAAAGAAAGAAAGGGAAACAGAGGTAAATAAATTAGGAAATACACACACGGAGAAAACAAACAAAAATAAAAACGGGTGTTAACTAGGAGTGGTGGGTGAGTCAGCGCCCAGCCCTGACCCAGGCTCCTCGCTGGAGAGGCCGGGTGCAGGGGGTGGCCCCCGGGGGTGTCAGGACCAGGAAATTCACCCAGACCCCAGGGGCCAGGTGCTTTCTGGAAGGAGTCTCCAGGGACTGGGGACAGGGCTGCCGCAGGGTGGTGAGGGGCTGGTGGTGGCACGGACACTCTGTGCCCTCCTTGAGACGCACGCAGGTCGTTACCCACCCCGCGTCCTGGTTGGGGGATGAGAACAGAAACTCCGCCGGGCAGGTGGGCAGGTCCTGCTGTCCTGGGAGATGCAGGTCACATACGCACACACAGGCACAGGAGGAGGCTCGGCCCCCATCACCTTAGCGCCCACAACTGAAGTCCCCTTGCAAAGGCAAAGGACGGTCCAAACGCTCAGGGGGACACTGGGAGAAGCCCACACGGAAAGCCAGCCTCCATCGCCCCGGCAGCGGGGCTGTGAGTCCCCTGTGGTTCTGAGGCTCAAGGACACCTGGTGAGACCGTCTCCACCCAAACAAACCAGTCCCCAGGCTCCTGGGCCACCTCCTCATGGCCCGCAAGGCTGAGCTGTCCCTCTCCTGGCCTCAGCGGGCGTCTGGCACGGTGGCCTGGTGTCTGGGGAAGCCTTTGGCAGCCTGACGGCGGTGGGCAGCAGGAAATGCAAAGGGACAAGAATCCTCGGTGCTGAGAGCATCTCATCTTCTTGCCGTTGGCAAAAAAAAAAAATTTAAAATAAAAAATTAAAGAAACAAAATCCATCGTCGCTCTTGTGCTGGGTTTTTGCTGTTTTTGTTCTCTTGAGTGGTTTTTCCCCCATCTTTTCGTTGTTTTTTAAAAGAAAATACAGTGAAGACACTAAAAAACGAGAGAAAGATTAGAGGTGCATTTGCCTCTGGCCACCCATCTGCCAGACGCCCCTCACCTCCTGTCTCCTTGTCCCGAGTCTTTGCACTTGGTCCCCCGTCTGGGGCACACAGTAGGTGCTCCATTTCCACAGAAAGGACACTATCTCTCTCCTCTGGCCTCTCGGTGAGCAGCCACCCCAGCCACAATGTGCCACAGACAGGCTGGTCCCTGGCGTCAGGTCCCAGCTCAGTCTGTGCAATGACTTCCTCGGGTGTGAGGCCCGGCCCAGCCTGTCGTGCACATGCTCCCCAGGCTCAGACCCACACCTCCCCTTCCCCAAGCCCGACCCACAGTAGGAGCTGCTATCCACCACTCAAGGCCTCAGGCAGCCATGGGAGTCCCAGGAGGCTCACTCCCGGGCTTGCTGAGGCCAAGGGTCTTTGCTGACGGCAAATTATGTTAAAGCAAAGGCGGTGTGGAGGACAGAGAAAGGGGTTTCCAGCAGACATTAACGGATGTGGGCCAGGCCTGCTCAGAGGTTTTCAACTCCCTCGAAGGCCCTTGGTTCTGGGTCCCTGGTACCATCTACAACTCCCCTGCCCCGCCACAACACACACTGGTCTGCTCCCGGGGCCACAGGTGTGTCAACTCACCTAAGCAAATACTGGTCCGGTGGGGCTCCCCCTCACTTCCCGAGGTGGTCAAATGGCACGCTTGTCTTGGGAGGGAAGGCAGAGAGAGGGGAAGGGATGAGCTGCGGCCTCGGGGCAAGTCTGCCCACAGAGCTGCACCCCACCCGCCAAGGCCCAAGAGCCGAGGGAAGGGTGTGTGACCTCCAGGCCATGCACAACCGAGCCTGGCCGCCGGACGCCAGCTCCTGGCCTGACCTGCTGAGACCCCTCCACTGTGGGCCGGAGCAGGTCTCCTCCCACCTCTGCCAGGACACCCCCCTTGGTCAACCAGGATTCCCCTTCCCAACTTTCCTGGCCCAAACATGGCCCTAAGTGGGGCCACCGGACAGGATCCCAGCCCTCTATCCTGTGCTAAACGGGACATGCGGGGGCCGTGAGCCCCCCTCCCCGCCCCCGCGAGCTCCCCGCTGCCCACCCAGGCTGGGCCCCTGGGAGCGAGGGCTGGATCCCTGCTCTCCCACTTGCTGGCTGGAGCAGGTTATTCTGACTTTGCTCAATGGGGCCAATCAGATGTTGGAGGATTAAATGAGGCCAGGTCCCTGCTCGACAAACGGGGCTTGCTCCAAGGTTGTCAGACTCAGGGGACAGGGAGGAACCTGGGGGCCCTGGCTCAGCTGGGCGGGACGGCAGGACTGGGGTGAGGGCAGCTCACCTGTGAGGCTGAAATCCGGGAGACCTCTTGCCGCCCAGTGAGGTCGGAGGACGAAACGTTGGCCGGAGCGCCCCTGTGTAGCCTCATGCTCACCTTCCTCTCTCTGTCGACCCGTGAGATCGCTCTGGGAGAAGTATTGCCTGGAGGGCGAGGCAGGGGGAAGCCACCTTCAGTGTCCAGGGGCCTGACTGCCCTGGCTGCCCCCCCTTGGGCCCAGCTCACTGCCCCAGGTCCCTGCTCACCAGCTTGCTGGATGCGGGAGGCTGGGGTGGAGGCCACAGGCTCGGCAGCACTGCGGAGCCGGTTGGCGGGGGTCCCCGTAGGCGGGCCTGGGGGCAGGGCCCGGGTCGCAGACCCCCGGAGCTGCCCCATCCTCTCCTCGCGCTCGTGCTCTCGCCGCTCCCGGTCCACGTCCTCGGGATTCCGGGCGGCACCCTGTGGGGAGGCAAGAGGAGGCCTGGTCAGCCCTGCACGGTCAGGGTGCTCTAGGGTCCAGCACCCCCGAAGGGCATCTTGGGGAAGGGGCATCGCAGAAACCCTCTGGTCCAACCTCCTCCCCACAGCAGGAAGCCTGAGAGGCCTGGCAACGACCCATGATCCCACAGCACAGAGCAACAGAACCACAACCTGCCCAGAGGAAGGAGGAAGCTGGATGGGGGGGGGGGGCTCGGGTCACTCTGCCCTGGTCTCAGAGGGCCAGTCAGGCTGGGAGGGCTAACGTCCTAGGGCCTCCCTGGCCCTCCCAACCTGGACCCTCCATGTAGAGAGCCCTCGGCTCCTCGAGGCTTCCCAGCACAGCAGGACAGATGCTCAGAGGCCAGAGAGGGAGTTACAAGGCTGCTGAGGCCAGGCCAGGACTCGAACCCGGCCTCCCAGCCGGGGACCTTTTCAAAGGACTGCCTGTCCCCTGCCCCTGGACCCGGCAATGGCTCCTGGCAGGTGCCGAGGGGGCCACCACCACACAGATGCTGCCTGCCCTCACATGGGCGCTCAGGGGAGCTGGAGAAGGAAGGGGCCAGATGCCCCACGGAGGAGGAAGACACCGAGCAGGCAGGCTGGGCAGAAGGGGTGTGTGAGCCCAGGGGCCCTGGCCCCAGTGCAGAGGAAAGGGGAAGGCCCACAGCGAGGAGCACCGTATGGGAGCGGCACCCGGCCGCGTTACCTAGTTGGTCCTGGGGTCGTCCACAGGGAAGGGCAGGGGGCTGGCGAGAGGGGGGCCGCATCTGTGGAGGAGAGAGCTGTGGGCTGAGTTGGGGCCTGCTCATGGGCACGGGGTATGGGCTCTTGCAAGCCCCGTGTCTCCCAGGGAACTGGCCGAGAAGGCCCTACTGTCTTTGGGAAACGGGGGATGCCCTTGCCTTTAAGCAACTCTGGGAGGTAGTGGCTGGGGATCAAAATGGTCCCTGAAGCCTAGTAAGGAACCGAGGCCCAGAGAGGCCTCCTGACCTGCCTGGGGCCACACGGCTCACGGCAGAGCTGGGTGTGAACTAGTCCTGCTCTGCTCTCGGCACCCCCAGAGGACTTAGCAGGACATTCTAGAAGCGAACATCCCGTCCTCCCACCCACAGCCTGTCCAGGCAGGCAGGCCTGGAACTACCAGGGCTCCCGCTCCTGACCTCCAGTCCGCCAGTCTCCCACCCCCTCATTACAGGCTGCAGAGAGCAGCTCAGCCAGAACCACAGAAACCCGAGCGGCGAGAGCTGCAGCACCCACTCAGGAACCTCCTGCTGGAGGCAAGCACTCACTCCCCGGGTGGGGACTCTGATGGGCTCGGAGGCGCCCAGCCCCTGCCTTTGTGGCCGCAGCGGCCTGGGCCAGGGCCAGCCCCGAGGCCGGAGTGAGCTCCTCTCCATGTTTCCATCCGAGCCAAGTGACGCCCCGAGAAACGCATGCCAGGGAGGTCTCTTGGCTTTTATTTGCCCACAAGAAAAGACAAGGTAACATCTAGTCACCGCCTGCGCTGCGCGGACCGTCCTGGGCCCGGTCAAGTTTCCCCCTGGTGGCCGGTTGGCCTCGGACAGTGGCTGAACGCAGCATCCAGGCTCCCGGGTCGGCAGACTCCAGGCCCTCACACTGGACGCTAGGGGGTGGCTGCTCCAAGGAGGGAGGCTCTGTCAGGGACGGATCCTCCTGCTGACCAGCCTGGCCCAGGGCCCAGCATGGCACCCATCTGCTGGCCGGTGCTGCAGGCTTCCCGCAGGGGGCGCTGTGCCAGGGAGGGTCCTGGCTTCCGCTGAAAGGCATGTTAGGTCCCCGGTGCCTGTCTGCAGGCGCTTCTGCCAAGGGGCGACTGGAGTGGTTGGCTCAGCACAGTGGTGGGGCTCAAGGCGCCCACGCCTCCGGTCGCTGGCCTTCGCGCCAGAGGTCAGTGCTGGAGAAAGCCGCCGCACCTCTGCTCAGCTTGACTCCGGGGCCTCTTCAAAGGGGACCCCGGGAGGGGCCAGAGTGCCAGCCGGGGGGGGAGCGAGCTCCGGGCCCCACGAGATGAAATCTTGTCGGTGGACAATGCAATGGGAGGCTCTGAGGAGCCATCTACCGTCCACAGCTTTCTGTGATGGACGTGTCCACGCCGGCCTCGCCAGACATGGCAGCCACTAGCCAGCCACCCGCGGCTCCCGAGAACTTGAACTGTGGCAAGTGCGACTGACACGTGACATGTTCAGCTCCGATTAATTTTAATCAATGAAAACATAGCCCTCGTAGCCAGTGGCTGCCGTACTGAATGACAATGCAACACCTGTGTTTGGAGCTGAACTGACAGAAGGGCTGAGCCCCTCCCAGACCCAGGCTCTAGGATGACTTCCCACATGGTGAGCGAGGGTCCCGCGTCCGAGTCCCTGGAGATGCCGGGCCCTCGGCCACACTCCCAGCTGGAAGGTCCAGGTGAAAGGTGTCCACTGCCACCTCCAACCTCTCCCCTGGGGCCCCTGGGCCTGTGGAAACCCTGGTCTCTGCTCAGCCTCCACCCCACACATTAGGGAGCAGTTCCAGGCCCCCCTGTCTGAGGCCCAGAGAGGAGGCACAAGACCACACGCTGCCCCCCATCCAGAACAAGGCCTCGGTCCCGAGCGCCCGCCAGAGCCACTGAGGCCGTGGGGAAAGGAGAGGCAACTCGAGTGAAGCGGGTGCAGGTGGGGACGTTTAATGAGCTCAGGTTCAGTACAGAGGCTGCTGACAGGCCTGCTGAGCTGCTCCTGGTGCCCAGCCCCAGGCCCTCCAGGGCAGGGAACGTCACCCCTCCTTCTGGCTCTGTCCATCAGGCCGCTGATTCATCCCCAAGAATCCCTGGGCAGGGCCTTCTCCGCCACGCCCCCCCTACTGACACCCTCCCCCCCCATGCCAAGGGACACCTCCTCGGGCCTGGCCCCGATGGGCTCAGGCACCTGGTGCTGTCAGAACTGGGGCCCTGGAGTCCAGACCATAGGCCAGTAGTTTTGGGGGGGCAGCTCCTCCACCTCCTCCACCGGCCTACCTGCAGGGCCCTGGGTGCCCAGGGGCGCCGGGCACCTAGAAGGGACAGAGAAAGCACAGAGAGGCTCAGCCTCTTGTGCTCACCCAGCCAAGCGGTCAATCTTGGAAGGGCCAGGCCTCGGAGGGTCCTTACCAGTATGTGCGTGAGTACGCAGGCCCGGCACTGGGAGGGGGGTGGGGGCAGGGCAGCGCAATAGCCTCGCTGTCACGGGGCTGAGCCTGGCTCGAGGGAGCCCCCTTTTCCAGAAGAGACGTGAAACAAGTCATACGATTTCTGATGCCACAGCTCCAGGCACATTGACGACTCCCCCCACCCCCCCTGCCAGGCTCTCAACAGAGGGAGACAGAGCAGCCGCCTAGCAAGGCCCAGGGGCCCGTGACCAGGAAGAGGGAGACCACACTGAAGGGGTCCAGGCTGGCCAGAGGGGCTGCAGTGAAGGCGGCCGCCTGGGCCGTGCAGAACAACAAGAGCAGGATGGTGTAGGCAGCAATCATGACGGTAGGGGGGCCCGCCAGCGCCATCCACGCCCGGCCGCGGGGGCCTAGGAGGGACCGGAGGCCCAGCCAGGTCCTCCTGGGTCTGGTGGGAGGCAATGCCTCGCGCGGGCCCTGCTGACCGTAGCGGTACAAGCTGTCGGCATTGACGAGACAGGAGTGGGGGGAGCGTGGGGGCTCGAGGGCCCCGGTGACGTCACTCGCAGGGTCCAGCTCATAGCTCCTGTCCTCCGGGAGCCCCGCCCACCACAGGGTCACTTTGGCCTTGTGCGTCAGGGCCTTCCCCGACCAGTCCCCCAAGCCCGCCTCGGCCTCCAGGTGACTCACGAATTTGAGCATGTTCCAGTCGAAGACGTAGTCGTAGGAGAAGCCCTGCCGGTGGAAGAGGTTGCGGAAGAGCTGGCGCAGGTAGGAGTAGTCGGGCTTGTCGTCGAACCGCAGGGAGCGGCAGAAGTTGAGGTATGTGGAGAACTCAGCTGGCGGGGTGACGGGGACAGAAGAGGCCACGGTGAGCCCCACGCTCCCAGGGCCCCAGCAGCTGTCCTACCCCCCACCGTCCCTACACTTTCCATCTAGGAGGGGCAAGACGAAGACAGAAGGGACTATGGCTCTCCCTACGGTGATGACCCCCGGACCTGCCCGTGAGCGGGGCCTCTGAGGACGAGGATGGTGGACCTGTGTACAACGAAGGGGTGACCCCTCAGTGAGCGGGCGCTGGGTTAGGAGGTGGCAGATCAACAGCTGCCACGGAATCAAAGGACAGCCAGGAGCCGAGGGGGACTCCCAGCGTGACCTGAGCCACGGGGGGAAGACTTCCACTTCCTCCCTGAAATTGGGGGCGAGAGGGGCCTTTGTCAGAACAGAAAACATACACATTGACCCCTGGCCCTGTTCCTGGCACAGAGCTCCTCACACCCTTGTTACTTCCCAAGTGATAAGAACAGCCCTTGTCCTAGTATTTGGTCTTTGACACTGTCCTTGACACGGGGCCCCGAAAACCTTATAAATGCTAAGCGGTAGGAGCACCAGCAGCATCTCTTGTCCTATTGAGGTGACGCTGGGTGGGCTCCTGGTGGGGGCTGGGCACCAGCAAGACAAGCTATGGTTAGGAGCTTGGAACTTCCAGCCCCAGCCCCCTCCCAACTTCTCCAGAGAAGGGAAAGGGCTCGAAATGGGATCTCCGATGGTGCCTACGCCAGGAAGCCTTCATTGGGTTTGGAGACCTTCCAGGTGGGTGACACACCCTCACGCCACGGGGAGGGAAGCTCCTGCCTCCGGGACCCGCCCAGGTCTCGTCCTGTGCCTCTCTTCACCCGCCCGTCCACCTGTCCTTCATCACACCCTTCCATGAACTGCTAAGTGTGCTTCCCTGAGACCTGGGAGCCGCGCTGGCACGTTAATCACACTTGGGGAGGGAGTCGCGGGAACCTGGGTGTGGGTCAGAGGCACAGGCGGGCTGGCCGGGGCGTCAGTTGGTGGCCACAGTTGTGGGACTGAGCCCTCGGCCCGTGGGGTCTGACCCTACCTCCAGGGAGACAGTGTCAGGATCAAGGTAAATGGTAGGACACCCAGCTGGGGTCCCAGAGAACTGCGTGGTGGGAGAACCCCACACATTTGGTGACCAAAGCGTCAGGTGTGGAGAGTTCAGGGAGGGACCCCTTTTCCCTAATGCTCAGGCCCTGGGAGGTGAGGCAGGAGCTGGTCGGGGGATGCTGAGTGCTTCACAGCCAGGCCTCCCGTCCGCCTGAGCCGGGACAGAGCTCGCGGTTCATGTTCTGGTGCCGGGGGCAACGGCAGCCCAGACAGGACTCTGTGCAGCAGCGTCTCCCCCTTGGAGGGGGCCTCAGGGGTCCCCCGGGCTACTCACAGGGGTAGCCTTTGCAGAGGACCTCGATGGGTGTGGACATCTTCTTCTCGCTGATCCGCTCGTACTTCTGGCGCTTGGTGGCTGCCTTGAGGCCCTGCCAGGGCAGGGAGCCCAGGTTGAAGTACATGAGCACGTAGCCCAGGCTCTCCAGGTCATCCCGACGGCTTTGCTCTGCACAGAGGGGCAGGCGAGGGCAGGGAGCACCAACACATTAGCACGCATGCGCCTAACACGTCCTCGGCTCCTGGTCGCCGGGGCCGGGACATGCTCCTTGACTGAGGGGGAACAGCCCGCCCTGTGCACCCCAGGTCCCACCCCTTCTTCGGGCTGGCTGCAACCCTGTGGCAAACAGGCCATCTCTGGCTCCTCCTCCAGAGGAGGGACCTGAGGCTGAGCCTTCTCAACTTAATCTGGGCCTACTTTTCTTTGGTGGGGGTGGGGTGGGGGGGCTATTTATCCAGGGCAGGCATCCATTCACCCGACAACTAGGGCCTCCTTGCCTGGCCCACCCTGTGGACAGGGCACAAGCTGTGGCATCAGACACAGCTGGGGTCAAATCCGGCTTTGGCACCTGCTGAGCCAACAACCGTAAGCAACCCGTGTCACCATGTGAGCCTCGTTTCCCAGCCTATAAATTAGAAGCTGGGGGTGCGGTCGGGCAGGAGAACCTGCTGGGGGGGCCGCGGCTCTTCTCTGAAAGGGGAGGACCTGACTCTGAGGGAGTCGGGGGAACATCCAGGCCGCAGGGCGCCAGGATCCCGGCCAGCAGCTCCTGGGTGCACGATGGTGCACGTGGCCCCGGGCCTGACCACTCACCGATGCCCAGGTGGGTGTTGATAGAGGCGTAGCGGGCAGTGCCGGTTAAGTTCTTGTTTTCCCGGTAGGGGATGTGCTGGTGGGTGCGGGCGTCCCGGTACTTCTTGGCCAGCCCGAAGTCGATGATGTACACCAGGTTGCCCTTCTTGCCCAGCCCCATGAGGAAGTTGTCAGGCTTGACGTCCCGGTGGATGAAGTTCTTGGAGTGGATGTACTCAATGCGGCTGATCTGGGGGACGAGAGGGGACAGCAGTCACCCCCAAGCAGTCCCCAGAGAGGCCTTCCCCACGTGCTGGGGGCCGGGCCCGGGCCCAGGGCGGGGGCTGCCAAGATGGAAAACACATACACGGCCCTTGCCCTGGGCGAGGGGAAAAGAGGCTTGTAAGAGGATTTCAAGAAGCAGTCCGGGAGGGCTTCCCGGAGGAAGTGCCGTTGGAAAGCAGCTCTGAAGGAGGAGTTCACCAAGTCGGCTGTGAGTCCGAGAGGAGAGCAAAGCAGAAGGAAAGCTAAAGGCAAGACCTGGAAATGAAGCCGGAAAGGCATCCAGGCCCCACGGAAGCCTCTCCTGCCTGGCTCTACGCCTTCCTCGGACCCGGGAGCCGGAGTCAGAGGCATCTGGAAGGCTGTTCTGGCGACAGATTGAAGGGGAGGGGGAGAGGGAGCTCCAATAAAGCCTGAACTTGGCAAGGGTGACAGAGATGATGCTCAAAGGACAGGCGCTGTCCCCTGGCCTCCAAAGTACACTAAAGTCGGGCGGGCACACAGGCCCTTCTTTAAACAATTTATTAAAAAAACAAACAAACAAAAAACCCTGACTTAACACATATGCACACGGTATGTCCTCTGGCAGGCCAGTCCCTGCCGGGGCCTCCGCCGTCTGTACATCAAAGGCCTCCTCCGCGTGGCCAAGTATTTCCTAAACCTCTGAGTCTCACATCCTAAGAGACTGGCCACCCTGCTCGACACACACACATTTAGCCGAAAATCGCAGGTAATATTTTTATGTTTTTACTGATTTCAGAGAAGAAGGGAGAGGGAGAGAGAGATAGAAACATCAATGGTGAGAGAGAATCACTGATCGGCTGCCTCCTGCACGCCCCACACTGGGGATTGAGCCCGCAACCCGGGCATGTGCCCTGACCGGGAATTGAACTGTGACCTCCTGGTTCCTAGGTGATGCTCAACCACGGAGCCACACCAGCCGGGCTCTTTTTATATTTTGAGGAAGTTTCCCCCCCTCAAGTTTATAAAGGGCTTTAGGAACTCAGGATGCTGGGCAGTGGGCGCCCCCTCTGGTCCTGGCACTGCAGAGGGGAGATTCTCTTTTTTTTTAAAAATATATTTTATTGATTTTTTTACAGAGAGAAAGGGAGAGAGATAGAGAGTTAGAAACATCGATGAGAGAGAAACAT